TATTATTTTTATAAAATTTCATCTCAGAAAAATAAAAAGTATCTAGAATAGAGCTGTTAAGTGTCCTGCCCACTCCTTTCTGAATTTTCTGGATCTGCTGCTGTAGTCCTTCTAATAACTCCCCCCTGATGTTTAAGCCCCTCCTTTAAATTTTACTAGTAAAGCATCGTGCTTTCTTGACTAATACCCCCCACTTACCCTTGGCAGCCAACTTCCACATACTAAAATGGGTATTGAGGTTCACCAATTTCCTCACACAAAATTCTCTCTACTGATCTTCATAATTATATTCCCTCAAAGAATTAAAGATAAAAGAGTAAAAGATAAAAGCATTTTACCTTAGGAAATTACTAATTATCTTGACATTTTCTCTTGATGATGCAGTGATCTCCTTAGGAGAAAATTGATGTTGGTCATTTTTTAGTCTTCCCATGTTGATCATAGTACAATAACCATGACATTGAGGGTGCTAAATTTGATCACTTTTTTTGTTATTTCTTTTTCAGGAGTTTAATGATAAGATTGCAACAAAGCACAAGATCATGAAGTTCATATCTAGGGTAATTAAGATTGTTTAAATAATTTTGATTGTTGTCACTTTTATGCAGTTCTGTTGATGGGTGTGTGTAACTTATGTCCCTAGAAAGTCCAAAAGGCTTATGCATTTGAGATTCAAGATGTTCCTGTGACATCAGAGTACCTGGAGGTCAAATATTCGGTGAGAGATGATAAATTTTAGGTTATAACAGAACAAACATACCGGTAAACCAGTTTTTAGACTTGTGAAAATAATTTTTTTTAAGACACACAAGCTTTCCATTCCATCTTGGAATCTTTATCAAGTGATGGAGTTTTAATCTTTCTTTTTTTTTTCAAGTGATTTATACTGTGAATCAGGTGATGAGCAGTTCTGTAGATCATGGGAGCTCATAACTGGCATAATAATAATATTATTGTTAGAACCCAACAACTGATTTCAGTGTTGTCCATGACACTTAATTTCAACATGTTATCTTCCCTTGCAAATATTGAGGAGGAGGGAGGCGGCGATATCCAGGGCGTGACCTGAATACTTAAGGGGGTTCCCCCACTGTCTTTGTTGTTGCTTTAGTGTTGGAAATGTGTTCTCTGAATCGAACTCCAAAAGGTCATGTGATAATTTGGTTGCTGGAAGTGTTTTTAACAAAGGTCACTTGTTGAAAGATATTGGCTCTTTGAATTTGATAAAGACAGTAAGGATAGACTTGAGAAGGGAAGGTGCCAGGATGGGCTCTAAGTTGTAAAGGATTAAAAAAGGTTTAAGGTTTTTTTTATAGTGGAAAGTGCACTTATCTTATCCAGCTAGTTTACAGACACTCCACTCAAATAATTCTGAAACAAATAATGCAAATAGAATATAACAGGAATAAAAAAAAAAACTTGGAGGAGACAACCTGTTGGCTATTTACAAGCGTGGCTTAGGATTTGAACTCGGGACGACCAAGAACAAATCCAGCAAGTGGCCAAAGTGGGACGCGAACCTCGGGACTGCCGGATTGGGAGTGTGATGTGAGGACCACTTGGCCACGCTGCTTCCCCAGTAAGGGTACTAGAAGAGGGGGGGGAGGGGGGGGGGTGAAAGCAAAAGGGAAGGAGGGTCAATTACAGCATTGATGAAAAAAGAGTTAATTTGTGACAACATTATTCATGACAGGCGGATTATCCTCAGTTACCATCTGATCTGACTAGTCAAACATTCAGTCATGTGTTTGGTACCAATACATCAAGGTAATGATTCCAAATTAACCCTTTAAGCCCCAGTATCCACATACAAATTCTCCAAACTGATCTCCATACAGTTCCTTAAAGAATGAGTTGAGAGAATTTGATGAAAGATCAAGACATTTTTTCTTGGGTGATCACTTTATTAATTCTCATAACTTATCTGTTGACAGTGTGTGGATATTGTTAGGAGAAAATTGATCTTGCTCACTATTGGCACTTAAAGGGTTAATGTTTGTTGACTTTGAGAAGTGAACTTGCCAAAGTTATAAGTAGATAGTGAATGTTGGAAAGCAACAAAGAAATAATGATGAAATATAACTGCTTGGATTTTAAAGCTGTAGGATTTAAACATTAAAGAAGACATTATCATGAAATCAACTGTTTCCTAGAGTTGCAATCTTCTCTTGCCTTTCTGAAAATGGTAAACATTATTTCATCAGAATGGAGTTTGGTTTTGTGATCTGGAGTTATTTCTCTTTAAAGGAATCTTTTCGTCTTCTAATTTCAGCCTTGAACTCCTTCTCCTGAGTCGGAAGATGAAAGGTCCTTGTTGGCTCAACATTAAGATGCCTCGTAAGTCAAATGGTTAATAAAACCTCAGTATGCACCATTGTATTATTGATGTACAAACTAGCCACTAGCGTAATAGGAAATACTGTTGACACTTGTGATATCAAGTAACGGTACTTGGTTTAAAGATAGGCAGGGGCTACAGCTGTAGATGTCAAAAGTTGCCAGATATTGAACAGCTCAGAAGTTCTCTTGGTTTTCTTTTCCTTTTGTTTTCTATGAAAGAAGCCAGGTGTCATGCTCATGGTTGTCAGGGGAAATCCCTGGTTCCTAGCTCTTGATGACAGCCTTAATATGGTTGTGAGCAGTTTCTTTGCATTTGGTGGAATTACCATATGATGTAATATAAAATCACTAATAAAATACCCACACCTCAACACAATAGTTGTCAATACTCAACAATGAAAAACATAACATTTTATTATTGTCCCTGAGTTTTCCTTATACTGAGTTGTATGTTGTTGTTGACTGTATGTGCAAGACTGGAAAAAACTCAAACAGATAATTTTTTGCCTTCATCAGAGCTCCCTCAGCAACCTGTTAGTTGGTGTAAAGTTGAGGTAGGAATTTTTTTGTTCAGTATCTGGACAATACTTTTTTTCATTATTTTGTTTTCATTAAGTGTAACATCATTATTACTATTTTGCAGGCTGTAGTCACAAAACCTGATCATGTTGAAGTAGCAAGTGAACAAAGTCCTCCTCCGCCTATGGTAAGATTGTAACAGCAAAATTAGTGAGCAAGTAAAGAAGAGGGATGCATACTAACACTTAGTGCTGCTGGTTTTCATTGTCATTTTCAATATCATTATCATTATCATTATCAATATCATCATTATCGATACCATTATCAATATCGATATCATTGTCATTATCGTTAATAATATCAATATAATTATCATTATCATTATCAATATCATCATAATCATTGTCAATATCATTCTCATTATTATGTTTTTTGTAGGTTGTCATGAGCCTTAGTTTTAGGACCATGTTAAACACCAAGACTCACACCCATGAGGTAAGCAATGAGTAAAATCAAGCACTAAAAATGTCACGTTTTACTAAATCTGAAATGCAATAATGGGATGTCTGTTAAGAATACCTTCAGCAATGCCAGAGATGGGCTGCCTGTGAGATCGACTGCCTAAAAAGTTGGATTACCTCAATAGCTGGGTTTCCTTTTAAGATGAATTGACTTTGGACCTGAGTTTGTGATTTGAAATTAACAATCAACAAGTTCTTGTGTAGTGAAAAGTTTTTCTAAAGAAGAGGTGCTGCTTAAGAACCTGGTTCTTGCTGAAGATGGGCTACAATACCCACAACTTTAGTATTCCTGCCACCCGCCCTTTTTTCTCAGTGGGAAAAGTATTTTAGGCCTTGATGTCCTAGTCATGCTTANTTCGCGTGCAACCCTAAAAGATACCTTTACGGCTAAATATAATGGCGTTTTGCCCAGAACACCCAAAGTGAGACCGAAATCCGAAATTTACACCCCAAAGCGGGATGACGAGAACTCCCGCTGCTTTCATATGGGAGTCCTTCCCTCCGGGGAAACCCCTCCCCGTTCTGGTGAGAAGAATTTCCAGGTCATTTGACTCTTTATTCTCTGTTGTGGTTTAGATCTTGGCTGTGTCAGCTCTGGTTCACCATGACGTGTCCTTAGATAAGGCTGCTCCAAAACAGAAATTCCAATATCACTTTTGTGGTAAGCTAAATGAAATACCTCATGGTTAGCTCAGGTGCCATTACAATCGCCCTCATACCAAGTGAAAGTAGGGAAACTAAGTTGGAAATGACGAGAATGGACGGCATCCGAGTTCAGAGAGCTAGGGAGCTTAAGCAACGACGACGGTGACGGCAACGAGAACGGCAAAAAAGCAATAGGTTTAGATTAACAAAACAACAACTTTGCGCGTGCATCACGCTTTTTTGTACATTTTTTTGTCGTCGTTGTACGACTACGACGTGAAAGTGCCTAATTTCACGTTTTGTCGAGGACGGGAACACAGGACAACAACCTTCTTTTTCTTTTCTTGAACTTTGGTACAGGCCTTCAGAGCTCAACTCCCAAAAAATTGCCAACATTTGACAAACTGAACGAGATGGAATAAGCGCGATTAAGTTTGAGGCAGCACGAATTCACTTTTTAAGTGACGTTTTCGTAGCATTACCGTCGTTGTTGCTTGAGCTCCCTAGTGATGGTAAAATTAATCGTTTTGCCGTTTCCGCTGTCAAGTCAACTTAAAATTGTACGTAGTTGTGCAGTGACGGCAAAGAAATTTACAAAAACGCGTGTTTCACGTGCAAAGTTGTTGCTTTGCTCTCTAAATCTATTGTGTTTCGTGTTTTTGTTGCCGTCGCCGCCGTAGTTTCGTTAGGTCCAGCGTCACGAATGACTCTTACTGCTGTGAAAATAAAAGTCTACTTTTTAAATTACGAGTTCTGCGAGAGTTTGTACCGGTCATCTTTGTTTTTCAGCTGTTAGCAAGCCAAATGATCAGATGTACCCGTATGACTTTAAAGATCTTGTCAGAAAAAAGGTAAAGTCGACTTCTGAATAGGCAAAAGGTAGAGAATATTTGGTGTTTTCCACCGATACAACCATAAACACTACAGTTTCTACCAAACCCGTCATTCAACAGACATTTATGTCAAAGCGCAAAATCAGCATTGAAAAAATCACCAAAAATAACTTTTAGGAAAAAAAAAAATGGGAAGAGGCATGCCCTCAATCCCCCCGTGGGTCCCTCAAGGGAACGGTTTAGGTAGGGATTTATGCCAAGCCCTTCAATCCCTGACCCACCGTTCATTTTACTGCAGTGTTCAGGAAAAGATACATTTTTTTTTTAGTGATCGTAATGCATTTTGTTTGGTATACAGAATTCAAGCTCTTTTAGAAAGTGACATCATTGAATTAAAGATTACGATTTTTTAAAAAACATGATTATTACCACTCAAGACGAAGTAGATCACTCACCACAAATATCCACACCCTGTTCAAGGCTTCCAGTCCAGAAAGACACCCCAGTGTTCAAGACGCAAAATATTGAAATACTGTACCGTATTTGTAGCAAACCATTAACGTTGCATTCATGGCTGTGATATGCATTGATGCAATTTCTTCAGTTCCTTTGGGCAATAAAAAAAAAGAAAGAAAAAGTTGTTGGATCATAACTACTTTTGGATAGATTACTAATTTTAAGGGGTACGTTGACCCCACGGATTATCTTTTGCAACGGTTCACGAAATTGTGTGTGTCTGCGTAAACACTTTTCGTTTTTTTTTTCTGTAGCAAATTAAAATGGAGATCACTGCATCAGAGAGAGCACTTCTCGGCTTATTTATGGCAAAGATTCACAAAATTGACCCTGACGTGCTGGTGGTATGTTTATTTGC